TATGAATTTAAATTTTTTAAAGAAAATATATAAATATTTTTCAACTTGTTAAAAAAACAAATATATAATAAGGACAATTTGGTCAAATATACATTCCAATAACCTTTTATTCCTTTAACCAAACACGGTAATCTTACATTCCTGTTAAACCAACCAAACACAAAATACAACATTCCCAGTAATCCTATTCCCTGGTAATCTTACATTCCGTGAACCAAATGCACCCTTAGTGCCAGGTAACACCTATACCACTAGGCTAAGCCTTCAACTTGGTTTTATATTACAATATGTTTTATATAACTTGTACAACCTAATGAGAGAGAAAATAAGTAAAGATGCTAATTAAGGGATTTGAACCTAAGTTCACAATTATGGATGAAATAACCATAACCACTAAGGCAAATCAAATAATTAAAGAAAACTTTTAGTTTGTTTTATATAGTTGTAATTTTGTTTAGGCATGTAAACGAACCGAACACACACGAATGGAGGTATGTTCATGTTCGTTCATTTAATAAACAAACAAACATAAACGAACAAAATTTTTTTTGTTCACGTTCGTTCATTAAGGAATATAGCTTGTTCATGTTCGTTCATTAAGGAATATAGCTTGTTCATGTTCGTTCATTTAAATGATAAATGAACATAAACGAACATAATAAATGAACATAAACGAACACAAACGAACAACACAAACACAAAAAAACAAACTTATTCAAACACAACAAATGAACGTAAAAAAAGTAAACAACAAGAATAACAACTTAAAATTCATTAATATAACCTGAAACTTTAGAGTTAATTTGTTCGAATACGACAAAAACATACATAAATCATAAATAAACTATATGAACATAATAAATTCTTAAAGTTAATTTGTTCAACTAAACAATCTTCTTGAATTCCAAACAACTTCAATAATCTTTGTAACATATTTAATTTGCCCTCTGTTCGAACATAAATGAACATGAATGGACAAACATAAATAAGCATAAATGAACGAACATATAATCGAACGTTCACGAACGTAAATGAACGAACGAGCTCTTTGTTCGTGTTTGTTCATTTAATTAAACGAACGCAAGCTCTTTGTTCGTGTTTGTTCATTTAATTAAACGAACGCAAAATCTTGTTCATGTTCGTTCATTTAACAAATAAACGAACTTCCCGCCGCACAGTTCATGAACAGTTCGCTGAACGTTCAGTTCATTTACAGACCTAATTTTGTTAATTTAATTTAATATATATTTATTAATAATTATAAATATATAACAAATTATAAATTAATGGAATAATATAATTTAATAAAACAAATAATTCTTAATTTTTAATATATAAATTATTTAATTTAATAAAAAAATAATTCTTCATAAATATTAAATTATAATTAATAAATATATATAATATAAAATTATAATAATTAATAGAAGAAATAATTCTTAATAAATATTAAATTATAATTAATAAATATATATAATATTAAATTAACAAAAAATACAAATATATAAAACAAACTAAAAATTGTCTTCAAGTATTTGATTTAGCTTAATGGTTATGGTTATTTCATCCATGTTTGTAACATTTGGTTGAAATCCCTTAGTTAGCATTTTTATCTTATTTTTCTCTCTCATTAACTGGTACAAGTTATATAAAACATATTGTAATATAAATCCCTTTGTATTTTCTCTCTTTAATATGTTGGTCACATATATCACCACCTTATTAGATAGAAAAATTATTAGATTAAATAAATAAAAGTTAAGAAAATATTTTCTAATCAGGTAGTGACACATGTCACGATTTAATTAAAGATTAAATTTATTTTAATTGAATAAAATGATGACTAAAATGATATAATGTACAAATATTGAGGATCATATATACAATTATAACAAGTTTTTTAACTGCCACGTTACCTCCTCCGTTAAAAGTTAACGCTCAGTGGGTTGATTGAAGCATTTTAAATAGTTAACTGGTATGATTGATCGAATCCAAATGTTGATGGTCAAAATGAACTCGGGCAATAGTTTAGTTGCCACCCCTGTAGTTTACCCATTCTTTATTGTTAAAATATCATTTCCAACTTATAATGTAAACATAGTTTTTCTTTAATTTTAAAGGTGTCTTTACTGAGATATTATTAGATGGTCCGACTCACGACGTCATTAGTGAACTCAATCAATAACATTTGTCCACATAATTTTTTTCCAAGGTGATTCTTCACCTCTTTCTTATATGTAAATAAAAGGTGGGTGATTATTTAAAAGTTATTTTGAAATTTGTGGGTGTGATTTATTGGGACCATAAATGACGTGGTGAACCGGGTTCATGAAATAATTTGTCGTCTTTACCCCCCCCCCCCCACACACACACAAAAAAAATCATGACAGCCCTTCAACCAAAATAACTAGTGCCACTAATCATTTTTATTCAAAAAAAAACAATTTATGTCAAAGTTAAGTGTAGGGATTAAATCTCAAATTCAAAGATTCCGAAAGAACTAAAACTAATATTTAACCATTGTTTTTCATATAAATTATAAGAATATTATTTAAATTTGTATTATCCTGGGAAACCTAATTGCAATTACAATCTGACCAAACACCTCCAACTTGTCTGAATGACAAAGTGCATCTCGATTTGGCTTTTCGCTTAACCAACAGCTCAGTTCCACCTTCACTTCAATTTGAAATTGACAGATTTTTACATTACTTTATTATTCACTAGTCAACCACGCAAGACAGTTAATATTCAGTTTCTTGCATCCTAAGCAAACAAACTCAAGGGTCTGTTCTGCATGTTCATGTAGTGCACGAGTCTTTGGTTCGATCTTTCTCGCTAATTTTATGATGTAATTTCGAGGTGATGTTGCAATTTAATTCGAATATTATACATTTAAATATATTAGAACTTGCATTTTCTTATAATCATAAATAATTATTGTACCTCTTTCGAATTTATTTTGTAAGACTTGCCTCCGTAAATTAATTATCTCCGGAGAATTCTTTCGTAGTTAAAACTTTGAGAGAATATCTCTGGAATTTTACACCTTTCGGAAAGTCACAACCTTTTGAAATGATCTATGATAGACCTGTGTGATATATCAGAGTCAAAATTTACTATCAGGTGATTGTATCAATTGAGTCTGCCAACCTATGAATGGATATCATGAAGTTCACTAAGAGAAGGATTTCGAACCATCTTCTCCATTTCTTTTTCGATTCCTTCTTATTGGAAACAGAAATTTTGAATTTTGACGGATCTTCATTTAGCCATCAGCCGCGACTTTCTATCAAGATTAAAAGTGACGCCGCATCCGAATCTTACCATCAACAACTATGCTAATTGAGCTAACTTATTCATCATGTGGATGTGATTATAACCTCTGGCAAATGGCATGATTTGGACACATTTCCAAACCAGTTAGCTGCTAACCCTTTGACTTTTAACATGCTATTAGGGTTTCAAACAAGTCACCAACCATTGTAAATTTGCTTTGGAAAAACAAGCATCGGATAAGGGAAGGTCAGAGGATAATGATGGCTACTGGGTTTGGTTCAATCTTGGCTTTCAAACAAGCCACTAAATCCTACTGTTGGGTCACCATGAAAGGCACTGCTCAACCTTTCTAAGGATCTTGTTTCATAAGATCACCATCCGATTCTCTGTACCATTTTGCCGTGTGTTGGAAGATGCATTTAATTGGATGGCTGAGATGCCACAATCACATGCCTAAAAGTCGATCGCAGTGCTTGCCGGTACGTTTCATTGATAATTACATGAATTCGTCGTCAATTTCTTGGAGGCTAATCTTGTTTAAAAACTTCTAAAATTGTTTGTTTACTTACGGTATATATTTCTATGTTAACTGCATTCAATACTATAACAAAAGAAATTGGTAAAAGGACTTCTTAGGTTATTTTTTATTTTAAAATTAGATAATTTGGTTATATTAGGTAAAAAAATTCGATTTAGGAACTTCTTTGACGGGGAAACAATATAACTTTATTTCAGTTCGATTTGAAGGCAGAGGAAGGAGGTAAAAAATAAAGGAGACAAACAATTTTGGTTTATATCTATGGAAATCACGATATTTTTAAGTGAAACAGACTCCAAATTGAAAATTAGGAAGCTTAAAAAAGATTGTTGAGCAATTTTAAGGTTCAATGGTAATTGACGATAGCGACTAGTGCAATATCTAGTGATGATTTTAGGGTTTTTAGAAATTGAGAGTAACGACAAATGAGGATTTGTGGGAGGAGAGAGCGATAATGAAGAATTAAAACTAAAAATTGTTATTTTACCGTAAAATATTTTAAGTAGGATCGGGTAAGATATTTTCTATCTTAAATTTGAGCTTAACTCGAACTAAATAATCACTCTTTCAAAATTTGTCTCGGTCCAAACTCGTTTTTAGAGAAAAACTGGACCTTATAAGATTAAGTTGATCGAAACCCATCAAGTCTCATGCCCATTTCTAATATAATAACGAATTTAATATTCAATATTTATATATTTTACTAATTTGGCCATTATAAAAACAATAAATTTTTCCATAACATTTATAAAATGTCAAATTAAGTTTTGCAATGTTTAAAATCAATATCAAATTGGCATAGTGTACAAATATTTAGAGTTAAATTTATTATTGCAAACAAAATCACGTAAAATTCACACAAAAAAATTAACACCATAATTAATTATCCTTAATTGCTCAGTTTTAATTTTCAGACAATATCGTGGAGATGAACAACAAAAGATCATAAATCCCGACCAACCAAATTTCAAATTAAGCTTCGGATCAACTTGAAACAAGCATTCAAGGAGTTCAATAACTTAACCTCCAATTATGATTTGGTCCCAAAACACAACTTTATGTGAAACACAAGAAATGATGGGAAGAACATAATTCTTGTTCCTAAAGGATGCACATTCATCCACCTAACCAAACAACAACGACAAGGCAGCAATTGGCTCTATCACACCCCCTTTAAAAGGCTGTGCTGCTGAGTCACTCGGACTCGGTGATAAGGAGAAAGAACGAAAGAGGAGGACAATGGACTCTCCCGTTCGAGTTTTAGTTCTCGTCGCACTCTTCTTTCCGGTTTTTGTCGACTGTGCCATTCGACATTACAAGTTTAATGTAAGTATACAGTATTTAGTTCCATACCAAATACGTGTTGTTCTTCATGGACTAAAAAGGCCAGAAACGACATGTGCAGGTGGTGATGAAGAATACAACTAGATTATGTTCAAGCAAACCAATTGTGACGGTCAATGGTAAGTTCCCGGGCCCAACTTTATATGCCAGGGAGGACGATACAGTGCTCGTGAAAGTCGTCAACCATGTTAAATACAATGTTTCGATCCATTGGTGAGTACCTAAATCCCTGTTTTTATTTGGTCTATTATCACCGGGGACGAATGTAAAATTTTATGTCAGAGTTCGACTTTAAACGACACAAAGACAATGGTCCAAATGGACACTTTTACATTGGTTGGTTCCTTACAGGCATGGAATCAGGCAACTTCGGACAGGTTGGGCCGATGGACCAGCATATATCACACAGTGTCCGATTCCGACAGGACAAAGCTATGTCTATAACTTCACCATCACAGGCCAACGAGGAACACTTCTTTGGCATGCTCATATTCTCTGGTTGAGGTCTACCGTCCATGGTGCCCTTGTCATATTGCCTAAACGAGGTGTTCCTTATCCGTTTCCCAAACCCAACAAGGAAGTGGTTGTTGTATTAGGTGAGTTACGAATTCGAATTCTTAATCTTGAATGTAATTTGTTTCTGATCATGTGTCATCGTCCGATTTATTGTCAGCTGAGTGGTGGAAATCGGACACCGAAGTGGTGATCAATGAAGCGATCAAGTCCGGATTGGCTCCTAATGTATCGGATGCTCACACCATAAACGGTCACCCGGGACGGATCCCGGGTTGTCCTACACAGAGTACTCTCGATCCCTTTCACTTACTCTCCAATTTAGAAACTTTGGTTTTGAATTTGGATGTTTGACACATAGAGAATTATGTTACAATCATGTCCAGGAGGGTTCAAATTGCCAGTTGAAAGCGGCAAGACCTATCTGCTACGCCTAATTAACGCTGCACTCAATGAAGAGCTGTTCTTCAAGGTTGCAGGGCACAAGCTGACGGTTGTCGAAGTGGACGCCACATACGTTAAACCATTTAAAATCGATACCATCGTGATAGCGCCAGGCCAAACCACCAATGTCCTCGTATCCGCGGATAAACGTTCAGGCAAATACATGGTCGCCGCCTCCCCTTTCATGGATGCTCCGGTTCAGGTCGATAACGTGACAGCAACTGCAACATTACACTACTCGGGCACACTAGGCAACGTTGCCACGACTCTCACCGCACCGCCTCCGAAAAACGCCACAGCAGTTGCCAACAGCTTTATAGACTCTCTCCGTTCACTAAACTCCAAGCTATTTCCCGTCTTGGTCCCTCAAGAAATCGATCACGATCTTTATTTCACCGTCGGGCTGGGAATCAACCCTTGTCCTACATGCAAAGCCGGTAATGGCAGCCGTGTGGTAGCGGCTATCAACAACGTGACATTCGTCATGCCTACCACGGCAATACTTCAAGCACATTACTTCAACATAAGCGGTGTGTTCACCGCCGATTTCCCGAGCAAACCACCGCATGTGTTCAACTACACCGGAACTCCACCGGCTAATTTGCAGACAAGGAATGGGACGAAAGTTTTCAGACTGGCTTATAACTCCACGGTACAACTTGTTCTACAAGATACTGGGATCATAGCCCCTGAGAACCACCCCGTCCACCTACATGGATTCAATTTCTTCGCCGTCGGCAAGGGACTCGGAAACTATAATCCGAAAACGGATCCTCAAACATTCAATCTCGTTGATCCTGTTGAAAGGAACACAATTGGAGTACCATCCGGTGGTTGGGTAGCTATCAGATTCCGTGCCGACAATCCAGGTATACATTTAACAATGACATTCGAAACAGGACCGACGCATGATTTTACGAATTTGTTTTTTTCTCGTGTGAATTTTCAGGGGTTTGGTTTATGCATTGCCATTTGGAAGTGCACACGACATGGGGGCTTAAGATGGCATTCTTGGTGGACAATGGGAAAGGTCCTAATCAGTCAGTTCTTCCTCCTCCAAATGATCTTCCAAAATGTTAAATAAAAAACCCAGAAAACTGCAGGATCAAAAGAAAATTTTTCATACGCAGAAGATAAGGCTGTGAATTTGAGATTGGATTTGTTTATGGGGTGAAAATCAAAGAATTTACCCATGTGTGTGTGTCCCACATTTGTATAAGAAATATTATTATTTTTTGGATTGAATGAATAAATTTACTGAAAAACACTTGTATAAGTATTATTTTATAAAATATCATTTTTTACCTTTAAAAAAATAATTATTGTATCAACGGGTTTGATTCAAGTGGTAAATGACTTGATATTACTTAAGTAAGGTCTCAGGTTCGAGTTCTTATGTATGCAAAAAAATTTCGCTAGGAGATTCACCCACTAAAACTAGGTGTACGACCCGGTTCGGTCGAAATTAATTAAGGTGAAGCCTTAAAACTAGAATATAACCATAAAAAATAATTACCGTAAACTTCAGAAAAAACCATAACATCGTTTTCTTCAAAAAAAAAAATCAACCATTTGTAAGAAACATAGACAGTTTTTTCCATCCATTTTCATTAAAAAGTAAAATATATTAACTAATACTACTAAAATAAATTATTTCGTTTGTTAAATAAAATTAAAGACAAACTTTTATAATATGGATAAATTGATAATTGTTTAATTGGGCTTTTGTTTCCAGTGCAGAATCAATTGGGTTTACACATTTATATTGTTAAGGGGTTTTTTTGCCCAATACCCTTAGCGGGTGAATTATTTAGAGTATTGGGCCTACTTAGACTTTATTTTGGAGAATACGGTATTTTCTACAGTGCACTCCAAACTCGTCACCTCGAGGTTATGAGTTTCATCGAATATTATTTTAAATGGTCCCCGAGTATTGGGCCCCACTTGAGCTATTATTTTATTGTCAATAAAATGACTCGTCATGCTGAGGTGATGAATCTATTAAAAAAAAAATTTCTAAAAAATTTGAAAATAAAAATAAAAATAATAAATTTTAAGAAAAATAGGTGGAACTCATCACTTCGAGGTGACGAGTTCCTTCAAATTAAAAAAAATACTAGTTGTTTTCTAGCCGTTGGTTAACGGGCAAACGAGGGAGATTGTTGAACTAAGTTTTTATTTTTGATATAATATGATTGTTAAAATTTGCATTTCACAATATTTATAAATAATTTGTCATAAATAATTTTTAAGTGTGAAAAATAATGCCAAGTGTTTTTGAGTTGATTCACATTTTATAAACATCATTTTTAAAGCTCAAAACACTCAAATTTTGCCAAACCACCATCCAGTCTCGAGATCATCTGTTCAGTCTCGATACCAAAATTCCATAATGTATTTTGGTATCGATACCAAGGTCTCAGTCTCGAGACCGGTGGACTGGTATCGATACTGATTCAAGCATTATTGATACTGGAGGTTTAACATCTATAAATTTTACTGTTGGAAGGCTCGGTCTTGAGACCAACTTATTGGCATCGATACCAAATGTGCATGTAACCATTAAATACTCAAAATTAATGAATCCAACGACTCAATTCAATCCCCAACGACTCCAAATGGCTAGATTGATGTTAGAAGACATAAAAGGGACAAATATTCAAATGGAGAACAACAAGAAAGTCAATTGTAAGATCAAACCAACATCAATAGTGTTTTAGAGTAAAAATTGTCAAATCTTTTGTAACACACGTGATCTACATTGTTAATTTTGCTCAAGTGTGATTTTTTATGAATGCTTAATTTGTGCAAACACATTTGTCTTTGTGAGGTTTTTCTTTTGTTTGCTAATTTTGCAATTTCTCTTTGGGAGAGTGTGTAAACAAGATTTTGGGATATAAACTTTTTGTGTCTTTGTAAGGTTACACTTTATCCTTAAAGGTTTGCAAATTAGTTGATTTGAGAAATCCTTTGTAATACCTTAATCTAGTTTGACCTGAAGATCCATGGATTACAATATTATACGAGACTACTGAAATAGTGACCAAAATATTTCTTTAAAAACTACTTTATAATTCACTGAAAATAGATCATCCATATAATTCACTGCATCTCGGAACTCACACACCCTTCTAGCCTTTCTGAGATACCCTTGGTATCTAGGGTAGATCCGGAGCTACATCGAAAATGTACATCGACCAACTTACTCCGTCGAGTCTTGGGGCATCTATGCCCAGTCTGCTGCTGAAGTGCCTTGGCATTGACTTAGATATCCACTGACTGTCGTAATTCTACTAAGAGGAACTCAGGTGTCTTGGTTGTTTCCCTAGTGTCAAACAAGGCTAGTTTTATGTAAACCTAGATGTTACTGTTTCTACTATTCTGTTATAAATTATTGTTTTCTGTTGAAGTCTTATTTATTGTTATTCAAGTGTATTGGGGCATCTCGGGTCTGATATATTATTCCACACATTAATTATCCAAAACTGTCTGTCAATATTGTTACTGACTCCTCAGTATTGATATTGAACCCCTGGTATCGATACCCACCTGTTGGTATCAATACCCTCTTATTGACATAGGTTGTTTGGGTAAGGTAGTAGTATCGATACCCTTGGATGAGTATCGATACTCTGGCACTGGGGTATCGATACTGGTCTGAGTATCAGTACCAAATTTAGATTCTATGTTTCTAAAAAATACCTCCAATATCGATACCACCCTTTTAGTATCGATACCCATGCCTTGGTATCTCTTAAACCCCCCCCCCCCCACAAAACTCGTTTCTTGAAAACTATGGCAAAACCTTGCAAATGTGGGTTTGGATGAAGCTTGGGGTAAGTACAATCTGATTCTTACCTTGGCTTGCTATGAAATACTGGAAGTAACATAAAGTTTCTTCTTTTAACTTGGCTTGCTCAAGAAGAAGAAGAAGAAGAAAGCTTGGGAGAAGAAGACAAAGATGAAGAAAATAAGAAGCAATAAAATCATACGTGGTATTACCGAGTTTTAATGGTGTTTAACATTTGTTTTGAACAGTGGTAAACTTACTCCCTTGGTTCCTCTAATTCTGACTATAAACTAAATATACCTATTTTCCTCTATTGGGCTCAATCCAAGCCAAAATACTTGCCTAAAGCCCATACCGAGTTAGCTCGAAACTCCTAACCCAGGATCCAGAGCGTTACATTCTTAGTGTGGATAGAAAACTAGTGGATGTAGACTTGGTTTAGAAGTCGAACCACTATAAATTGTTGTGCAAAGTTTTTAATTTTCAATTGCTACCAACATAAATATTTCAAAGGCCAATTCACCCTTTCTTGGCATTATTTGATTATTCATTAGAGCCAATAATTGGTATCAGAGCGAGTCACAAATCGACTTTTTAACAACCTTATGAAGATCCTTGAAGCTCTCTGTCAAATTCCCGAAACAACGAGAAGATGACTTCCACATCCAATCAATGCTACATTGAGTACTCTCACTCTATCCATAGACCACCCTACTTCAATGGAGCAAATTATTCCTATTGGAAAAATAGGATGATATTGTTCATCCAAGCCATTGCCCTTGCGATTTGGGATACCATAATCGACGGTTCTCCCGTGCCTCCAAGAAATCGAAAGAAGTGGACAAGTGAAGAAAGAAAGCTTGCCCAACGTAATGCAAAAGCCATGCACATATTCTTTTGTGATATTGGCCCGAACGAGTATAGTAGAGTATCTTCATGCTTTAATGCTAAGGAGATTTGGGACAAATTGGAGATGACCCACGAAGGAACAAGCCAAGTGAAGAAGTCAAAGATTTTCATTCTCACTCTCAACTATAAGAACTTCAAGATGAAGCCCGATGAAGACATCAAGACAATGTCCGTCGATTTATCATGATCATCAATGACTTGAAGAACTTTGAGAAGAGAGATGACCCACGAAGGAACAAGCCAAGTGAAGAAGTCAAAGATTTTCATTCTCACTCTCAACTATAAGAACTTCAAGATGAAGCCCGATGAAGACATCAAGACAATGTCCGTCGATTTATCACGATCATCAATGACTTGAAGAACTTTGAGAAGATATATTCCAATGAAGATATGGTGAGAAAGATGTTTTCCTCTTTGCCTACTTTATGGGAAGGCAAAGCAAATGCCATCAAAGAAGCCAATGATTTTGAGTTATACACCCTCGATGAGCTCATCAGTTCTTTACTCACTCATGAGGTGAATCTCCAAAGAAAAAAGAAAAAAGAATAAGAGAATAACAAGAAAAATAATGAGATGGAAATCACCTTCAAATCCAACAATGAGAGTAATCAAGACACAAGTGAAGAGGTGGATGAAGATAAAGAGATGACCATGCTTTTTAAGAAATTCAAACGATTCATAACATCTAAATAAGACAAGAAGCATGAATCGAGCAAGAAGAAAGGTCCCCCAGTGTGCTATGAATGCCAAAGAACGTGACATATCAAATATGAATGTCATCTTCTAGATATGAAGAGATCAGCAAGAAGAAGACTTTTATGGCTACATGGAGTGATGAAGACGTCACTGATGATGAAAAAGAAAAAGTAGACAACCTTTTTCTCATGGCCATCCAAGAAGATTCAAAGGTACCCTCAAACTCATCTAATTCAAATTCATATTCATTTGATAAGTTACAAGATGTCTATGATGAATTAGTATTAGAATGTAAAGTCATGATTTCATAACACAAAAAAACTCATTCAAAATTGAAATTTGAAAACGAGTCACTTTCTAAGACTAATAGTGAACTTGAAACCAAAGTCAAGGATTTGCAAGAGAAATTAAATATATTTTTGAGAAAAAGAATTTATACTTGAAAAATTTGCTTTCCAAAGTTCATGAGGATCACCAAAAGAAAATTGATGAGTTTGATAAAAAAAAGACTAATTTTGACAAAATCATTAAAATAAATTTTTAAAAAATAGATTTTTCCAAATCAATTTTTTCAAAAATAGCTTTTACAATAGACATGCTTATTCCCCTAAATATTTCAAAAGGAAAAATGTTTAAGATTATATGGGTCCCTAAAGGACCCATTGCTATTAAAGACAAGGATATCGTATCTCCAT